TGATTAGCGGTGCAACGGCAGCTAGCGTAGATGCGTGATGCCGTTCTGTAGACATTACTCGGCAACTGGAGACTGAGAACGATTGTTGGTTACTTGGGTCGCTGGTACTCAGGGCTTTCTGAAGAGTCTGGACGGTATTTCTTGCCTCACTTATCGTCTACTCCATGCAGAAGACCTCAGATCACTTGCCAAAGGATTCAAAAACAATTTGATACTATTGATAATTCACGGGACCAATGAAATCAGCGTGCACATGTTCCCACGGCTACGTTGCCAACACCCAGGAAGCTAGTTTGGCCTTTCTGAGTGCCTTACTGACAAGAGAGCATCATGGACATGACTTCGCCAGAGTTCCGAACTAATGTTTAGCAAGTGGACACATTTTCACACAATGCTTTTCATTCTGTTAATTCCTGAATGACCTCGATGAAATTTCTGTATGGCTCTCCGACGAAGCTATTTGGGAATAATAATTCTTTCGGCTAAAAGTAGACGCCTACTAACAATTGATAGCTCGACTTTCCTCCTGGACAAAATTTGTAACTCACCGGCTAGATTGTCTCAGCCGTTGAGTACTATGGAATTTGGTCGCTTGCTGTAAGATGGTATCTCGTACATATGTGTCAAAGTCATTTCGGTGGTCACAGGAAGATTTCTAAAGCTCTTCATCAATATCACTGCAGATACTTCCTACTGGTGTTACCGGTTTTTCGGTAGTTGGGAAAGAGCATCCGCTTATCCTTTGTACTTGCATATCTCTTTCTCGAATGTATCCAATGGCCACTGTCTTCGGGGCTTCCGGCATTTGTAACTGAAACCTTTTAGGGATTTGGTTAATCGGCATATCCAGAACGTTGAACCATTCGATCCAACATAACCCGAGGAGGTTCAAGTTGTTGTGACAAGTAACACTACTGGTTCCCCAGGCGATAAAATCGGCATAACGATATTGACGCTCAATTTGCTCGATCAAATCCAAATTGGTGCCTGATGCGCTCGTCCCTTGTTGTTCGGCCGGTTTAATGCCGGGTGCACCAACAGGTTTCCACAAGTTTTCCGTAATTACCGTGATAGTGGAATCCGTGTAACTTTGAAAACGTGTCAATCTACCATTGATGCTGATAGTGACAAACTTTCTTCTATTTCTAACATCCTCGGGGAAGTTGGCGTTCACCCTTCTTACAAACATTCGGTGACCGTGTTTTCAGACATCATATGCTGACCTAGATGTTGGCTTGGACCTGCGCTGCGTGTTCTTATGTCCACGTCTATGCTACTTCTGGCAGATGTGTTTACTGAAAGGGTACCATCTCGCAAATGGCAGCCTCCGCACTGCCGGAAAGCTACTCGGGACTCGGCTTGTGGGCATTTGTGTTGAGTTGCTGGGGTCTTGCTTCTGGAAACCTACTGGACCGATATACCACCAGGACACACCTTTGAATCCTTCATCAAATCTGTATGGTGTTTTACATTCATGATCCTTTGTTTTCCAGCAATGTCATTGTAATGTGACATCCGGGTTGCGTTCTAACATTCCATGTGTTCTTGTCCGGGTATCAACGTCTTCGGACGACCACAGACTAAATACCATTATCAAGCACTCGAACTGATCTTCGGTGAACAAATTCAGTTTGATTTTTGACATTCATGCGTTACTGTAACTGCATGGGTAATACGGCTGCCATGGTCCTTTTTCGACAACTTCAAACAGTTGTATCGCTTTTCGAAACTGATAACTGCTCTGCAAACATTTCCGTGAGCCAGGCAACTGTTATCAAAGCTAAACTCATGGACGTTCTTAGGCAAAGTATAGTTAATATATCTTTGTGTTGCGGCACAATGGCTGAGGTGTCTTCCACCTGCAGCTAACGTGCCTTGCTCAACCACCCCCAGTTTTCGTAACAGAAGTTGAACCTGTAACGCATCATCGAGACTTGATTACTCTATCCTCAAAACATCTTCATGCCGCTCTAACTACGCATCGAATATGTCTTGAATCAGACTCAGAAATGAACTTACTAACACTGCTGATCATAACGTTCATCGGAAGCCTCTCGCCTCCGTCGTTAACTACTTATCAGGGTATACTACATGATACACTTGCTCGTTTAACTTCTCGACTCTTAGTCGGATGCGATCGCATGCTTCAACTGCGTAGACATTGTATACCTTTGGTGTTTGCATACGTTGCTCTTAGAAAACTAAGATTTGTCACTTTAAGGTGCCTTTCTTATTATCCACTTTTTCGCTCTATTGCCTGCACGCAGCAACATAAATGAAACGGACACAAGCTTATATGGCATTTCACGCGTGACTCTTGGGGTGGTAACAATGGTGCATTTATTTTATCTGTACTCCCATCATTTAGGGCTTCTAAGCAGCATAATGGTAACTGGTGTATCACTTAGTGCCCCTTGCTGAATATCCTTAATCTAAGATAGCCCTCAACGCTACACACGGCACTTCACTGAGCTCCGCTTATTTTATGTCGCTTTGCCACTTTTCCCTAACTTTTGCAAGGGAACGCAGCAAACGATTGCATAGGTTGGCGATCGAGTAGCTGTTTCATCTAAGTTTGAATAAGCCTGCCATCTTGTCCTTTCGGCTATATTCCTACCTGCGTATTTGAAAACGGGTGGATTTTCGTGCCAACTATGTTCCTACTATTCTGCATGTATGTAGAACACGATATATGGCACATGTGTTCAAACATGAACATCCTGATGGAGTAGGAAAAGAGGGATGGAATTAGAGACGGGCTACTTTTTTACCCAGTTTCCCACTCAGTTTCGTTTGGATAGCTTTACAAGGGAATCGCCGCAACCCACAGAGATACACGTCAACTGCTGATGACAGTCTTGAGCAATGACTTCTAGGGTCTCCGATCAGCTACACTCCGCATCTCTGGAACCCCAACTAGGGAGTCAAGAACTAACTATCGAGGCCTCGTGTTTCGTTACCGTTTCCATGTTTTTTCCCCAAATTGTTGGCTGCCCACCGCGCTGCTTCTGCCAGCCCTGTCCAGTAACTGCAAACAACCTACGACTCGTGAGATGCTGAACAGGCATGCGCAATGCGTGTCCAAACCATTGCAGTTTATGTATCGAGACGTGCACCTCCAGTGAGTGGTTGCGTCCACACATGGCACGGTGTCTAACCTTTACATTACTGACCTGATGTGGCCACCATGTACGGACAGTGGGACCGCAAGCAACGGTATCTGAAGACAGACAGTCGGCGCACCTCAACGATATGGACAGTCCGGGTTTCACAGCTGTACCGCTCTAACAATCATCACCGCAGTCATTGATGTGTACTGGAAATGTCGATTTATCTTTTAAAATCCGGATACAAAATTCTCTCTTATTTCGAGCACGGAGCAAACAAACGCGATTTTTGGTACTAGTTAAGGTCTTTGCTACACACCTACATTGAGGTCTGACAGACACATTGTTCGAAAAATAGTGGACGCTGGAGCTTTCAGTACCTAACACACATTTTCAAGGACTTGGCACCACGGTTGCCATGAAATTATCCATCAGTGAAACTGTCATGATCTACATCGGTGCCATAATTCATATCAAGGGTCGTGTGGTGACAAGCTTGACGAATAGCTTGATAAATTTACGTCCTGTCCAATCCACCAGCATCTTTGAGTCACGCTTTCTGAGCATTTGGTTGAAGTATTTTCAAAAAGTTGTTCATTTGGCTTCCTACTTCTTGGCTCGTTTTTTAAATAAGGTAGCGCGTATTGAACCACGAACGCTGACTCACAGAATTTGAGATCCGAATGGGATCACGACGTCGATAACCCTGGAGAAGCCGCCCAGCATTCTGCTGCATAAACTACATATCAATGGTGCTGAGGTCGCTTTCAGACGGTTGATCCACCTATCTGAACAGTTACGGAGAGAGCACACCGTCCTGGTCAACTGGCACGAATTGGTCCTATGGATGCTTTACCATTGATTAGCCCTAGATCCATTAGCTCGACAACATTATTCGAACCATTGTTTCGTGATTGTATGAAAACAAATTGCCGTTTAAAATACTTGTTTATTGTTACCAATGCCGATGATGACTTTAATGCTCAGGTCGTTGTTGCAAAGCGTTTAACCAACTTGTACGCTTATATTCAACTTCTAAAATCGCGCCTTGTTGATCGCAAACTGCATTTAACTGGAGTCTAAAGTTACCCAGTGAACGGATACTATAAGATAATTATTAGATATTCCCGCTTAGGTGTTTCCGGCCAACAGTTATCAGTAGCTAGCCAAACTTCCAGCCCCTTCTGGGCTGTTTGAACGATCAAAATCGATAACTTGACCCAGGGATATAGATGGTAAGCCAAGTGAACTAAATAAACATGCATACACAAAGCTCAGTTGCCCGAATTCATTAAGTGGTTAAGATAACAACCAACTACCTAAGTAACAGTGTCACCTGGCCAAGCTAGTAGTATCTTCCGTATGTGTCCTTTTTGCACACATGATTCCGGCTTCAGATGGTGGGTACAGATAGCCTCGGCGATGGATAAGATCTTTTTGCGGAATCCTTGGGAGAAATGTTCAGGTGGTGGGTAGATGGTTTTGAAGTCATTCTCGGAAGCTGTATGGCCCCATTCGAGGAGGTGCGACATGATTGAGCTGTCTGAGGACCTCATTTCGCTTTTGTAAAACCATGTTGGGATGTGACCAGTAAATCCGTACAGAAATTTATTTTAATTTCCTTTTATTCACTTTGCACCAATACAGTGCGCCGCTCAACACATTGATCCCGTACCTTTGTATAGTCAGTTTCCGTACGCAAATACACTATTAATCTTTTGACCAAGCCGACACTTTCTATCAGAATTGGTGGGTCAACAGATGACCGAGGTTTTATAACACTCACCCGTACTCGGTATCTGTTCCCTGACATTTGACTCATTTTATTTTTGAACCGCTTTTAACTGATTTTCACATTGTTTACTTTAAATCGTACTTCAAAGCCACAAATTAATGTCGTTTTTCTTATGTCACTTGATTACATATGAAGACTCTCTGTGCCCGTGGAACTGGTTCCTGCTGTTTATACCTTGGCTAGCCGACTGCAGATCGAGGTCTTGCAGAGCCCTTGCGCCGAATACCTAGCAGAGCACATAACTGCCGCAAATATTGGAGGTAAGTAGGCTATATGGGACACTTTTCGGGTTAGCCTATACATTGTTTTTCGCTTTTGAAACATTTCCTTAGATGTTTCTATTACCTTATTTGTATCCCAGATAGCGATCTGATTAAAGCTCACTAGTCGTCTGTTCTAGAGCAATTTTTTTTGAATTTTGCGCTTTCAGGTCAATTCTCTCTTTAGATACTGCTCTTCACGTGACAGAACTGTTTAAGGCAGACTGCAATACACCTATTGTTCCTATGCCTACCGCATTTGTATATCCAGCAGCCTTAACCACAAACACGTAGGTGGTAGCGTCGCCGGTCCCAGTCACCTGCTGTCAAATGAAATGCTCATCACCAATGTTCCCAGGAGGACGGAACGATCACACAATGCTTTATGGTTGTATGATGACTGTCTAACAGTCTAGTTCAGATGAGTTCTACTGTAGTCACAAAAATCCCTCTCCCATATTGGATGGTCACTTCATTCCTTCAGCATTCTCCGGCAGTTTATTGCCCTTGTGTCCAAATAGGGACTTGAAGCCGCACCCCAGGCTTTTTAATCAGGAACATGTTTTTGGGCTACACTGGGAGCCGGCGACCGACGATATCGAGTAAATAACAGGTACACACTGTTCAGTTGACTCAGGTCTCCAAATGCTAGTGCACCAATTACTTCCTCTGAGATATGTGACAGACGTTAGTAACAGCAGGCATGTCTTCATATGGCAGATCCAGTTGCCAGTCTGCACATTAGGTTTCTACACAATCTCTTGATCTTCTAGATGCTCACCGATGTGTGCCGGCTGGAAGCTAATGCAATGAGATTCGCAATGATCTCAGAGTGAGACTGTATGCTAGCCTGAAGAGAAACCGCGAATCTTGCTTGTCTTGTCGTGCACAGCTGATGTAGATGGCTCCTGTTTCTTTATAATCATCGGAATTTATTCTATATAATACTAGAAATGAACAGCAGAAGACTTCGGGGTTAGCGGGACTATATGCGACGAGTGACGACAATCGGTCCGCCATCTGTCAAACATTTGTATCGTTGAACTGAACACTGAAATGCAATCCAATCAAGCAGAATTATCAGTTTTCTCGTCCGCTAGTGATCGCTTTACTCATTGGGCCGTTCCTTTGGATACGCTCTCTGACGCAGTAATCGTAGTTAAGATCAAACTGCATAACATTGAAGGACCAGATGCCTTTACTTCAGACCACTTCAAATTCGGGAACCTATTCTTGCAGGTGATTTACACGATATAGTATTGAAATTGGGAGTAGGATACTCACCCAATAAAGTGAAGCAACTCCATTATTGTTCCTCTCTCCAATGAGATCTCGCGTTCAGAATGCGGTAATCATTGCAGTATCAGTTTAGTCACAGTTCCCCCAAAGTTACTTGCCTCTGTAATTCTTCCTTGATTGACTGACGCCCATGAAAGCCGACTTCATAGAAGTCGGAGCTATGTTGACCACATCGTCGGTTTACTTCAATTGTTGGATCACCTCTGCATATGTTGGCGGCCAACTTAGTCGGGTTCCTCGACACATAAGCTGTCTCCATTTCGGTGGATTGATGTGCTCTTTGGGGATGCCTTGTTAGTACTAATGTGTCCGAGGAATACATAAATATTGCCCAATCACTTTGAACGCGTATCCTGGACAGAGCGAGGGCTTATGGCAGGCTGTGGTAGCTCTTCATTTTCTCCCGTACTTTGTCATTGACGAGCTTATTGAAATTACACACACTGGACATGAGTAGGAAGGTATGGAACTGTTCACGGGTTGTCGATTTATTGACGCAAATTATGTCGGTGATATTGCCGTAATCTGTGACAGCTCACAAAAGTGCTAAGCAGCGCCGGGCAGATTAGCATTAGTTGTCAACCGTTTGCAATTGTGCTTCGCATCCTCCAACTACAGGCTTCCCTCCAGAGATGGCGGGCATCTTCCCCTGCACGGACTCTTGGTGGGGATCAGCTAGTCTCTCGGAAATTTAACTGTATCAACTCTTATGGAATATAAGATGAGGTCACAAACCGTATAACTAAGCACGAGATGTTTTCTCTATTCTTCGCTATCTACAACGTCTTCCCGACATTCTGAAGATCAGAGTTTGCAATGTTGGTGACCGTTCAACCCTCCTGTGCGGTTGTGAAACCTCGCTCAGATCAACAAACGTAAAGGAGATACTTATGTTTGACCGCCCGTGAGTTCGTCGTTTAGCTCACATCTATTGGGAACACCATGTGAGCAATGAGTATGTCCGGCGCCTTGTTGATGGTGCCGGAAGAGCAAGACAACTACCAAGCACCGTAATTTCACTCGTCAAACTATGGTGACTGGGCCGTGTTTTATGCATGCCAGCACATCGAATCATACGAAGTGCGTTGTTTCTTCGACTGGGATCTGGATGGAAGAGGAAAATTGGAGGTCAACCGATGACTTAGTTCGTGCCATTTGAAGAAACAGGCAGTTACAGTACGCCGGTACGCGGTACCAACCATTCACTGCTACACAGCCACCACCAGCCGCGCGTTGGCTAAGGATACTGCGAGGGTGATCCGGTCCCCTATGCAGACTCGAACCCGCTACCTCAGATTACAAGGCAGGTTGCGATCCTTAAGGCCACGTGCCGACTCCGTGGTTGGTGTCTAAAAGACGACGAATGTGTCTGGCTGGAGACACTTGTGGATCTGGCCAGGAGCCGATGTCAGCGGCGTGTGTTGTGAGTTTTCTTATCCCTTCCTTCCAATCACGATCTCACGGTTGGCGTATAATAAACGAGCACATAATTACTTCGTTTTTTTTCCTATCATTTTCTTTTTTACTACCATTCTGTTTCATTGCATTGCGACACAATAGCTGAGACGTTTTCAGCGTAAACATGTCGAGTGATGATGATGAACAGTCTAGAGGTTTACCCGTTTGTCTGAGTTTGTTGTCTAAAATTCGAACAAAATTGCGCTTCGTGCGGAAGTTTAAACTGCGTGTTGAGTTCGTTCGTTCGTTTGAATCATGCACTGACTATTTTCGACGCGTTGAATGAGCTTTACCGCAAACTGATGGCGTTGGGGAGGGGAGCAACACCGAACCACCGAACCAATTCGGATACGGTCCTTGTGATCGTAATGCTCGAGTTCTACTTCAAACTGCATCGAGGTATAAATTGAGATTTCGTGTCGCAATCCAACCACACAGCTGGTACTCCAAATCCAGCTTTGAACTGATGGGGTTTGCTCTATCTGTTTGTTCCCCTTAGCTACATCAACGGCGTCCATAGATATTATAGAGCGGACTTTTTCCTGTACTATTGAGACCTGCCTGCAGCCAACTACCTTCTGGGACCGCAGTTTGGGTTTTCGCTAAAGATGTCGGGTCCATCTCCGTTCAACCACTGGTGCACGGTCCGCTGCTCCAACTTTATTCTCTGCCTTTCGACTTTATGAGCATTACGATTGCTGCGTGTTTTTATGTTTCGCTTCTGCTTTCTTGTCCAAATATGTGACCCTATCGATGTTTGACCCCGGGTGTAACCCTGACACTCGTCCCGTGTATCGACTGAACGACACTCAGGCAGTCACAGCATCAATGTTAACCCAAATTTACAGAGCATCATGTAAGGTTTTTTTCAAGTCAATTCTCTGCAAGGTGCATCTGACTCCCATCTATTGTTCACTACATAACAGTATCTTGGGTGTAGACTGGTGAACTCCGTACATTTCCACGGAGCGTGAGCCCATCAACGGCATTGCATCCATGTACCAAGTAGACTTGCTCAAAGATGTAGAACGACAGTCAACCCACTAGGAACAAAATCTAACTTTTGTAAATCTAGATTTCTGTTTGCACTGAAGAATCCTTTGCTTACTGGATTGGATGCCAGCTGCATGTCACCGTTATCTTACCACTCCCCTATACTGGATCTGAAGTTTGCACTTTTCACTTTCTACTGTAAATAGCAACTCATTTCTCAAATTGTTGATAGGGTTTGTTGTTATGTGGGCACATACGGAAGCGCATGGTGCTGTAGCGCGTGCGGTCGCGAGTGCCTGAGTCAGCCAAGTCTAGTGAGCCACGAGCGAGGCCACTCGGACCAGCGTCGGAAAGAGGACGGATCCTGCTGAGAACGTAAGCAGAGCCGGCGCAGCGTTGGTAGGTACGCTGCATTCGATTTACTAAGCGCGTGCTTGCGTGCTGAGTTTCTTTATTTGGCTTGCTATTTTGTCTAGCTGCTTATTTATTTTACCTCATTTTAATGTCTATCTGAATAATCTTTTATCAACTTGCACACGTCACTTAAACTAATTATGGTTAGATTCGTTAATTTTTTCGCGTTTGTGGCATTTTTCAACATTTACCCGACATTTTGTACTTATCGCGATTATGTTGATAACCAATTTATTCCATATGCTCATTTAGCGAAGAGCTATGTCGGCATATCCGTATGCTTGATTCGAAATATTTTATTTGGTAATGTCATTTAAAGTGGTTGGCTGTTGTTTGACATTCCCGGTGTGGCTGCGGTTGCAGTGCGTGTTCATAAAGTGGCTGCCTGTCTATTACCCACTACCTCGTCCATACTGGCTCCAGGAGATAGTTGGTGGTTGCAAGACGGGACAGAGTGCACGGTCCTCGTGGCCGTGCTAGGGTCGAAAAGGGGTTCTATCCGGTGTGGAGCGGACTACTGTCCAGCCCCCGTCTTGTGTGCGCCTGATTCCCCAAATACAGCTTGCTTATGTTTGCCTGTGAAGGAGTGTGGACTGGCTCCGTTGATGAAACGTGGATTCCATCCACATAACTCCCGGTCTTATTCCTTCGGGTTTACCCTGGATATGGAGTGTGTGGCTGGCGCTGTGTCCGTTTCAGCGCAAGCCACCCATGGTCTCTCTGTAGGCGCAGGCGTCCTGTTGCTGTCCTATAGAGACCACAGTGACGGGCAAACCCGGAACCGGATGCCGCCAACCATATGTGGGCACATACCACGAGACCTGGAAACAGATTCA